TGTACCATTAGGGTCGCACACCACCTTGTGGGCTTGTCCCATCCTCTTTGACAAGCAACGTTCCTTGGTCATCGAAGTAGAGCTGCAATGCGGCGAGCGCCACGCCAACGCTCGTATCTTTGCCCGAGTCGCAACAGATGCAGACAGCGTCGCCCCCCGCGAGTCTTGAACTGACAAAGCGTGTAGATTGTGGCAAGACATGTTGCAGGAAGTGAAGCTGGTCCTTCTTGCCCTCGGCCATCGTCAAACGCAAGACATGCCGCGAGTCTGATGGGTCGCTTTCTCGCTCGTCTTGCATTTGTGCGTTGGCTGAGACTATCACGTAAGACATCGGACGTCCACAATCTGCGATCGTGCAAGGAGGCTGAGCAGGCATGTCGGGCACGGCCGCAATGAGCAATCGTCCGCTGACTGCAGGTATCGGAGTAGGCAGGGTCTTCCACGCATTGTTAGCTCGGCTAGATCTTGAGGTAGATACCACCTCCGCTACCACGGAAGGTAGTTCCTCTCGGGTGCTGCTCAAGAGTCGATACTTGTTCGCCCAGAAGATTTGCGGGGTCAAACCCTGACACACAATGAGTTTCCCTAAACGCAACGAGAGAAGCACAACGGCTCCTACCATTCCCCAAAGCTCGTGATCATCTCCGGAACCCTGAACGTAGGAAAATCCGTGGGACCGTCTTTCCAAGCCCTCCTCTACCTGCCTCGAAGCCGAAACGCAGATGACCGGTAGGCACGCGAGGTCATCTCTGTCTGGCAACCGAGGGAAGACGGTCGTAGACGGTGTTATCCACAGCGGTCTCAGAGGAAGTGGGAGCGGCGGAATCGAGTAAGCGGAATTCTGCAAAGAAGCAATAGCCATCCAGGATCGAGATACGCTGTCTGTGCGCAAGACTTACAGCTAGTGCAATCGCCCATTGTTCCATGCGAGCCTTGATCTGGACGCGTTCTTGCTCGCTGACGGACGCCGGCGGGCAATATAGATCGATGTCCCAATCTTCTCTGTCAGGATAGGTCAAAGCCACCACGCGATTGATCACTGCACACCAGATCGGCACTGTCTTTGAGAGGGCGTCGGGGATACGCTTTCCGGATCTTGTAGAATCGACAAGGATTACTCTTGGAGAATTGCACCTCGTCAGCGTACGACCTAGACCAGTGACTTTGTAGGTTCCCATACCCATGGTTGGCAACGATGACAGGCAGAAGATGGAGATTGGGACGTCTCAAGTTGAAGCTCCAGTTCCCGAAATGACCATCCGTCGACTTGAAGTATGCGGGAACATCCGTCGCCTACAGCATGACGTCAATATCCGGATCCTCCTGTGCAGACAATTTGCAGCTGAGATCTCACGATTGCTGGGTCCACATACCAGGCGCCGCAACGCAGATTCGCTATGCGTACAAAGTGTCAATGCAAGGAGCTTCAGGAAGTTGGAGGCACGTACGTAGTACCAGAAGGTGCGGGTATGCGTTGTGGACCTGCCGGACGAATTGGACGTCTTCTTGGATTGAGTGTAACCGATTATATATATCCAGCGATTCCTTGCGCACGTAAGCTAGAGCCTGAGCGTTCGCCTGGCGGGCATCGAACTCTAATTCCATAGCGTTGTCTACTTCACTCCGAGAGAATCTTGCGGCACTTTGTGCGAGCAGATAACATTCACATTCGCATAGGCGTCGCCATGATGTCTGCAAGTCAGTGTAACTAGAGCTGCGATCGACAGTTTGAATTTGTTGTGAGGGAAACCTTAGATGGAGCTGTTAGTGAGTCAGAGATCGTCCAATGTAAAGTGTTCAGCGCCCTTACAAGCCAAGCGCTAGGCGTTTCGTAGTTGACTGTGGTAGGTGGTGCAAAGCCACAAAATGGAAGGGTCTCGCCAACAACAAGTTGGATCTTGGGCGTTTACTAGAATGCACTTCCCAAAGAGGAAGGCCACCAAGAACGTACCATAAGTGGATGACATCTACATTACAGCGGATGAACTTGCTACTTGTTAAGCTCAAGGACAACCAAGGTAGCACAGATAGAACACGTGCGGGATACAAAAGTCCTGCCTCGAAACAGTCCCACTCGCACGAGACTCGGAGCATCATGTCGACGACCATTTCTCGATGAAGGCAGTCAGCTTGCGTCTGTCTCTGCTACTCAGCTCCGACTCCTTGCGTGGGATCAGCCTGGAACAAAAGCAGAGCATATAAAGTTAACTCACCCTTTGTAGCCGCGCTGCAGCTGTTGTCAGATCTTCCGACCTCTGACGAATTTCTTGCACAATGGCGACCTCTGCTGGAAGCGGGGCAAAGGGAGCGGAGGTGTTCGTAGGCGAGTTCTCGTAAGCGACATCTAACAGAAGCGCCTGGCTAGTGGACCTAGCGAATTCGATGCCAGGAATGAGATGAAGGTTCAGCGGGCGCGCGGAACAGGACGCACAAGTCTGTCAGGCGGCGCGACAATTGCGAGGACCACCGCTCCCCAGCTTTCTGAGCATTCGCAGAGCTCTTCCGGAACGACGCCAGCTCAGATTCCACGTCTGAATGATCGAGCAGTACGATCGGTCTATCTCTTGTGGCCTCCCGAGGACCTAGGGACCGTCGTGTTTCAGTTTTTCCCTGGTAATCAAGATGAAATCGAACGTACGTAGCAAAGGCTTGAGAAGGTCAGTGACAGCAGCCCCCAGAATCATTGTGGGATTTCCTCCACTCTCATTTGAGTCATATCCATTCAGGTCTGTAAAGCGCTTCGCCTCCTCCATCCCGTCATTGACGTCCTCAAGCTCCTCGATCAGCGCACTGACGATGACTTCGGTTTCCGCCCGGAGCGCGCTCTCTGCCTGCAAGACTTCGTAACACTTTTGCAAGCCAGGAAGCAATCTGTCGCGCAGCTCCGTCGTGATCTTGGAATATCAGCGTGAGCGACGTTCAGCCGAGCGTCTCTGTGTTGATCACTCGACTCACGTAATCGAGACATCTTTCTTGGGCTTGAGATAGAATCAGTCGATCTAAGGTCCCAGCTCGCTCCAACTCTGTCTTCACATCGGGCACAATGTTGCGCGAATCGATCTCTTCCACTTCTGAGTTCCAAAGTGGGTGGATGTACTGTTCAAGATCACGAGCCTGCTCCTGAGACAAGCCTTTGAGTTCACTTGTGATTCTTCCGAGTTCTTCGTGATAGGAAGCGGCATAGAGGGCGGATGGGGAGAGATGGCCCGATGCTGCTTTGATAATGGCGTAGACGGACGCGGCCTTGTCATGCAGATCGTCGGCCATCGGCAGAGAATTGTATTCATCGTCCAGAGATCGATATAGGCGTTCAACCGCGATGGCCAGAGCGCAGCGACCACGTTCAAGAGTTGCTATCCGGGACCTGGCGATGGAGAGATGGCTCTCACGTCCTGCATCGATCTGAGCAATGCAATCCTGGAGTGTTTCAACAAAAGGCTGACCTCTCTGCTCCGCATTCTGAAGAACGTCTAATGCTTGCCGAGTACACTGTCCCACAGTACTGTCGGCCTTCGATGTCTCACTTAGCACGGGACCTCAGCCATTACAGAGATTAAAAAAATGCACCTCTAAGGACAAATCTGTAAGTCGTTGTCCTTGCTCGAGCGCTGTCTGATTCAAGCCATGAATCTCGCTTCGGATGGTAGCAATCGCATTTTGGAGGCCTTTCATGGCCGCTCTAGCATATGGTGAGCGGCGATCGGTGATCTCACAATGAGAACCTCACTTCGTTTTCTGCAAGCGATGCTGCAAGCGCTTCGTATGAGCTCCGAGTGCACCTGCTTCACCTTCCAAAGTGTTGGCGCATGACCTTCCCATAGTGCTGCATGAGTCTCTGTCCTGACAATTGATGCGGAGTGAGACCTTACTTACCTCAACTTGGATGGAAGTCTGTACGACGAGGACGCGAGCCTAGACTTTGGGTTTTGAGAAATAGATTCATCTGTCGCCGGCAAGCGGTCCAATCTTCCAAGGAAATAGAGTAGTAAAATCGGTTTCAGGTATCAGCAATGAGACAGCACTGTGCTCACACGTTCGACTCTTCCGCATACAAGGCAATACGGCCAAGGACAGGGCGCATTATGAGGTCTTGCGGCTCCTCGTTGTGGCTGTGAATGAGAGCCACCGAGGACGGCAGACGTTCAACGTCAAAATGAACCTGAGCGGCCAACCACTCGAGGAGCCGTTCCCCCGCCGGGATATCTGTAGCCCACTCAATGTCGTCTTCGGAGGAACTGGGCCCGCCAAGGTGAGCGATGAGGTGGACGACATCCGCTGTATAACCTCGACAAGTTCCCTTCTGAGGCGCAGTGGCCATTACACTGACCGACGAAGCCCGTTAGGTCAAGTAACAGCTTCGTCACTGATACATATTTGCCGTACCTCTACGCGTCTTCGTATGGATATAAGTTGTGAGCGTCCCCAACGGATACTCAGTGGATGTGCAGTATGAGCTGCGATCTCAACGTCAGTGTTCCGGGCGCTGGCAATTGTAAGAATTGGCGCCCTTGAGCTAACCACATGTACATAAGTTACGATACCAAGCTACCAGGCTCTTCTCATGCCAGTGGTTTCTTGTGGTCGTCTCCGGCCAACCTTGTTCCATCACTCATATTTCTCGAATGTGCAGCTTGTCTCATTGTGATGCTGCATGTCTTTCTGACCTAGCCGATGTCTTGACCAGTGTATTGATGTCTGAGTCACCTCAGCGCCGGCTCACCGCCGTTCGTCGTGCGCGGTCGCTCTGAGCCTCTCCGGACTTCCATTGCATTTAGCTTGTTTCCTCAGCCCTGCATGATATGACATGTCGCGTTGCTGTACGGGCGTAATCCGTACCGACATTTAAGCAACAAATCTTGGTTGTCATGCTTTCTGCGCCGTATTTATAATGACACGGAGGAACCTTGGATACTAGTACAATATACTAAACGGACCTTGTCACTATGTGCCAAACTCAGTTGCTGGCTGACAGAAAGAGATAACGGTACCGTCTAACCAATGAGCATGTGGTGTAGTTGTTTATCACGCTCGCTTAGCACATTGACGGTCCGGTTCAATCCCGGACATGTCCATTTTGATGTCGCCGCCCGACGTCGGGAATTACTATACTCGGCAAGCGTCGCGTATTCGTCCGCGCGTTTATTTCCCCGGTTCTGTCACGGTATCCATGCCCCAATCATCATCCGGTTGAGCCTCGCTCAGCCGTTTGATATTCGCTGGATACCCCGGTTCGTCATCTTTTACACTGGCAACTGCAGAGGTGCAACACGACTCCGGTGTTATGCTCGCCTGGAGCGGCTCTGGAGTCCGTATAACCTCATAGCACCCTCACAGTCTGGTCTATATAAGGCACATTCACGGATCTGTTCCTACGCTTCAACAGCCGTTGCTACCCAACCAGGGCGCTGCCGAAAGACCCGCTGGCCGGGTATCGCGGTTTTCATTTTGCAGCCTGCGCTCGGCTCCTCAGGTCTGGTTATCTCATCGCTCTCGGTCTGTCCTCACATTCATCACCCTAGCCGGTTTAGGGCGCTGCCAGCAGCTTGCCTCGTATCCGCATTCACTCTGCGCAGAGTGACCACGATAGCTTTGGTCTAGCAGACCTTCACGCTCCTTATCCTACCATCGTCGATCTTTACATCTTGGCTCTAGTGCATCGCGCACTCTCACGGACTGCCGCGAAGTCCTCTTGAACGTTGGGCTTCCGTCTCCGCGTTGACCGACTTCAACTCTCATGGCGGTTTCATTCCGCCAAAGTTACTCTTTTCTGGCTGGTTACTTTGCGGCTTTTTCGCACTTCTTTGTCCTTCTCGCATTCGTCAGCAATGCGCGCTGCTTGCCTGCGTTGTCGTACCCAACATCGATCGAACTTGCGGACCTCCATTATTGGAAGCGCGACAACCTTGTCGTCGTAACCTCCGAGGACGGCACGAATACGACCGTCATTGATCCGTCCACGAACCAGGTCATTCCCCAAGGCCCTGCTACGGACGGAGGCGGCGTCAACTTCTCCGTAACCGCCATAATCTGGCTTGCCTTCGTGTTCGCTGTCGGTGCTCCCCTTGCGCTTGCTGGCATTAGGCTTCGGCGCGTGACGACAGGCGCCAGTATCGGACTCGCGCTGACCGTGTGTGGTGAGTACAGCACTGTTGATGACTGCATGTCCTTTTTGTTGACGTCCTGATTGCACTTCGTCTCAGTATGGGCGGCATTTGTCAATTCTGTCTCCGCAGAGGGACTGTCTGACCTGCTCCTAACCGTCATACCGCTTGGTGCATTCGGTATCGGTTTTCTCATTGGCGTGCTTAGCCTCGGGCGCATGGCAGGCATCCTATGCCTTGGAGTACTCGGAGGGTTGTCCATCGGCATCCGGATCGTTCTCTTGCGACCCGGACTGCTCATTCAGACTTACGCAGCGAACTGGTTCATCCTCGCGGCCTTCGTCGTAATCGGCCTGGGCATCATTCTTTACCGGCAACGCTTCGGATTGGTGAGCAGACTGCCTTCGAGCGACGTCTCTCGCTAACGCGTTCTGCCGATCGGCTGGCAGGTATCGTCCTGTGCTGCAGTCGGCTCATTTCTTGTTGCTCTCGGAATCGATCTCATTATTCGCAAGCAAAGCGGGATGGCGGCAGGTCTCCGTTTCTTGTTTGACCGCAATAGCTCCCACTTCCTCGTGAGTACGGCCGCGCTCCCGGTGTCCAGGCTGCGCTCACCAGATCATTACAAGGCGGTCGTGCATGCGGGATACCACCCCCCTGTCGTCACGCAGGTGCTTCTCGGCGCATCACTAGGCGTTATGTGAGTGAACTGTTGTATAGCTTCTCCCGACGCTCGTTGACGCCCGCCCGCAGCCCCATTCTTGCCTTTGCGCAGCATAAGATTTTCCCCGCGCCGTTCCGCCCTATGTCGACAGTATCGGACTCTGCATCCGTTGCAGAGGAAGCGGTTGCGCTGAAGGACGAGAAGGAGGCCGATACCCGCACGGCAACTCCGGCGAAGGAGAGCCTGCTCAGCAGCCGGTTCAGCAATTCGTGAGCCTCCTGCTGCTACTTGGACTGTTTATGCTCCCCTCGTGCCCATTTCTTTCGATTCATTTGATGCGCGCAGGCGGACAATTCGCTATGCTCATACTGTATCATAGCAGCAACTTAGCATTCTTCTCAGGGGTTGCAGGGGTGATCGCGATTCATTCGCACCGTTGCCTCTGTTATACCGGACTGAATTCACATAGAAGACGGATGGATAGCTAACGCCTCGCGCTGTAACGCATGGCGCGCGGGCAATACCGTAGACGAAGCGTAGTTCTTGCTCGCACGTGTATCCTTACGCATAGTACGCACATCATCATCGCTACATGCCGCTCGCCCATGCGGCTCCTTGCGCTTCTTGCAAGTGACGTATCAGCATGCCGGATGGGCTCTGCGTATGCTGCGATAGAGCATCTGTCATGCATGGGACAATGACGTCCAGCAGCCGAGCGCGATGGCAAAGGAGATCCCTCTGCCGGAGAACCTGACCTGTGCGGGGTAGAAGTGCGCAGGCCTGCGGGGAATTGAATAGTCTCGGATACGCACTGTGAATGCTAGATCTACTGGAGCTGGGAGGTTTGCCTTCAACGTTCCTGCCTTCTACGATCAACGTACACGGATGTGGCTACTTGCAGAGCTCCTTCGAAGCGACCGGCATGCAGTCGGGAACCTCGTTCCCATGGAACACCCGCTTGATCGCAGCTGAACGTAGCCTCCACACCTGGCGTATTGCTTGTCCTGTGACGCAAAGGAAGGGCATGAGGCCAACGGACGACTCGACGATATGTGCTCCAATATGGTATTTGCCCATGAGTAGACAGCGTTCATTGGTTCGGACCTTGCTGCGGGGCGGTCATTACATCGTGGCGGCGCCTCGGACGCTGGACAACCCAACGGGGCCTTGATCAGAATGATCGCTGGAGGGGGATTGTCGTCCCTTGCAGCTAAACGATGGATTTCTCACGATGCTCTCAAGCTTCCCGCCATCCAAGAATTCGAACTTGACCACCAGCTTTGGTCGCTGAGGCGACGCATGGACCTGGGAACATGAGGTAGTGAGGCGTCAGGTCAGGAAGAATGGACGACGGGGAACGGTCTGGAGACAGGAAGAAGGCGGAGATCTGAGTTCTCGGACTCGTGTCCGCTCCATGTTGATAGATTCGAGACGATAGAAGGTGAGGAATATGAACTTCGAGGCGCCTTGGCCAATCACAGCAGCATCTGTGGGCCGACGGGAAAGGCAGTCATCACAGCCGCACTACTATCGATCCCAGGTTCATATCCGTCGGAATGGATGGTAGGGCGCGCTGGACAGCCGAGAATTCGAAGAGAAGCGAACGCGAGGACGTCTTACCGCAAACAACTGAATGGATTTTCAACCTTACTGGATGAAAACTGCGCTGCGTCGGCGGATTTCCCTACGTTGCCTTTATGCATCATGACCGATGCTCATCCATACAGTCGCGATGGTCGTCGCGGGAAGAGATCCACATCAGCCTGTTCGAGAACATAGCTGAGAGACCGGAGTGTTGGATACGGGCGCCTGGGATAGAATACTTGAGTCAATACTATCTGATGGCTTTGATCTTCACCAGGGTTATCTAATCACTTAGTTTGAGGGTTAAGTTTACCTCAGCAACTTACACACAATATTGACCTCGAACTCGCCGACGAGCACAAACGCGTCTCTTCCTCCCCTTGACCCCCAACCATGACCTCCTGGACGCCGCAGCAAGCAGCTCTGCAGGAGATTCTGCAGACCATCCACGAATCAACGGACACCCGTAATGCCGCCGTGCAGCGCAGTATAACCCATGTATGTCCTCCTTGCCCCCAACGAACAAGCTCACGGCCGCTCATTTGACTCTCATTTCGCAGAAATTGAACAACTTCACGCGCGCCCCGGACTATGTCGGATATCTCGCGTATATTCTCTCGTCTATGCCGCAAGAGGAGGACAGGATCCGTACCATTGCAGGCTATCTGCTGAAGAACAATGCCCGACTCATCCTTCGCGCCTCTCCAGAGGTCCTGGCATTTGCCAAGACGGCCGTTCTCGCAGCTTTCAGCGATCCATCGATCATGATTCGTAATGCGGCGGCGCAAGATATTGTCGCGTTTCTCGGGATTCTAGAGCCCAAGAATTGGCCAGAGTGCTTACAGCAGCTCGTGCACTTGCTCGACTCGCCGAACTCAGATCAACAGGAGGTGTGTGCGAAGCTTTTGACTCTCTCCCTCGGCCCTTTGTCTCCTACTCCAGGCCTTTCCTAGGCTGGAGATCGCAGTCGCCACGGTGTCCGCGTCCTTCTGGTCGCCATAGCTAGATCTGCAGGCTATTCACCGGTAGTGTGGCCTGGGGCGATACGCGTTCGGTTGTGCCACATGCTGCTCCTCAACATTAGCGTGTCTGGAACCAACACTAATCTCATTCGTGCTCTAGGCGGCTTTCAACGTGCTGGAGAAGGCATGCGAGGACTATCCAAGAAAGCTCGAGGTCGAGATCAACGGCACTTGGCCGCTCGATTACATGATCCCAAAGTTCATCGCCCTCTCGGAGCACCCCAATTCAAAAATGCGCGCTCACGCGATAGCGTGCCTATCGTACTTTGTCCCCATCGGTTGCCAGGTCCTCTACGCACATATAGACACGTTCATAGCCTGCCTCTTCAAGCGCGCCTCGGATGAGGACCCAGCTGTGCGGCGACACGTCTGTCAGGCGCTTGTGCTCCTCCTCGCATCTCGGCCGGAGAAGCTCATGCCGGAAATGGGCAACGTCGCGGAGTACATGCTATACTCTACCAAGGATAAGCACGAGAACGTAGCGCTCGAGGCTTGTGAGTTCTGGCTCACCTTCGCGGAAGACCCGGATCTCGCGCCGTATCTGCACCCTCTCCTGGGCAAGGTGGCCCCCGTCCTACTGGACTGCATGGTCTACAGTGAGGACGACTTGCTCTGGCTGCAAGGCGACGATGAAGACGCAGCCGTCCCTGACAAGGACACCGACATCAAGCCGCGTCACTACGGCGGCAAGGCGCATGGCT